AATAGATTCTTTTGGTACTAAGGGCGTTTTTAAATGACTTTTATTTTTCAATAATATGTTCGAATGAAAAGGAAAGAAATTCTTATTGAACCATAGTTTGAAACCTATTCGTAGTTAGCATGTAGTTACCGATATTAGTAGTATCATGTAAGTATTCATTTAAATGGAAATGTCATTATCCTACGCGGCAGTGGACAGAATGACTTAACACTTTCTAGTTGACTTGAAAAGATGAGAATTTCAGAAAAAGAATTTCTATTTTCATTGTAGAATGTCAAATTTAGGATATTATGTTGATTCTCAAATTATCTATGAGTAGATTCGTTAGAATGTTCAATGAAAAAAGACTAAAATGTACATAGAAAATTTATTTCCTAATGATTATTAGTAATTATGAAGGGTGTGGATGAGTGTGGGTGATGACAAGATCCACACGCACGCCCACACCCAAACCCACACCCTCAAGATACCTGAAGCTACGTATGTTATGGGTGTTGATTCCGATGTTCCATTCCCCACACCCACACCCCGAGCAAGTTATGCAGTTGAGCAAAACGCGAGTCGGGAAAGTTAAAATCCACCAAATTTTGGGCATTGCGCAAAGCTTCGAGTTCTTCTTCTACAATGACTTACATTTTCATCAACACCTCTGTCCATTACTTTTTCTTTCTGTTCTTTGTCTTTTCTATTTCATTTCGACTCTGATCTTTACTTTTCATGTTAACTTTTCACTCTCCTTTGACAAAGGTTGTATTGCATGTGCCCTCTACTGTGCAACGTGCTTTCTTTACACATGACAATCTCTGTGGCCCAGTCGGCGAAATCGAAAGAAAGCAAATATCATATCGAGGATTACAGTTTTCGCTCTCTGATAATATACCTTCACTATCGTTATACTCTCCATTCTGACTATGCTCTTGTAAAAGTTATCTTTCGCAATTAAAAAATAGATTTGTGAAATATCCGTGGAAGCAGATAGTAATCATGTTTCAACATTCCACACAATGGCTACAATCGTCAAACAAAAATCAATAACTATTAAATGTTCAAATTCATCGAAAAATATTGAACATATATCTTGTATAGCACTTGAATCATGTACAAAGCAAACACCAATTAGAATGATTTGGATCTACTCGAATACTGAAAATCTATCAAAAGAAGATTTCATGCCATCGGAACATTTACAAACGACTCTATCGGATACACTCAACTATTTTCCTATACTAGCGGGTCGTGCAACAGAAGATGCGAAAAGCAATGTGACGATGCATTTAACAAATGAAGGTGTCCTCTATACTGAAGCAGAATGCATAAGTCATACATTAGATTATTTCATACCACGAACACTTCCCGTTGAAGAATTCGATTATGAACATATCAACAAAAGTGATTTATCTGTACGAGTAAAAACAGATTTGACAGGAGCTTGCATGTCAATACAAGTGACGCGTTTAAAGTGTCAGAGTGTTATTTTAAGTATATCAGCTCTTCATTGTTTAATGGATGCAACAAGTAGTTCGCATTTTATGAACGCTTGGGCTTCCGGTAAGCGACCTGAAAAAATGCCAATGTTTGACAAATCGTTCGTCTTATATTCCACTGAAGAAGACCGACAGCAAATTAGTTCTCTGTCTCGACCAAAGTACTGTGTTTTTAATCGAAACATAGTACAACCGGTTGAGCTACCATTCAGTCATGCACCACAACAACAACAACAACAACAACGTGTGATAAGCCAAGTTTATTTTTTCTCTGCTGAAGAATTAAAAAACATTAAAAACGAAGCCTCAAAGCACCTATTCAAATCCGTCGATTTCATCAGTACCTATGATGCACTTTATGCTCACATGATTTTAGTAATTGCTGCCGCTACTCAAACGTCGTTAACCGATAATATCAAGATTCTTCAAGCGTTGAATGGGCGACCGCGTTTCGTTTCAAGTTGTTCACCAACTGTCCGCAACTATTTCGGTGCATTCCCATTCTGGCTCTATGGTGTAATACCATCTGATCGAGAGCCAACACTGTCGTCATTAGCACAACAGATTCATGAAATGCATTCAAAACAAACAGAACATTCATTGAGAGACTACAATGCTTATTTAATGANACTGCATATAGCCTGAAATTTTATTGGTTGGCCAATATTTTTTGGCGCCGTTCTAGGGTGTGGGTGTGGGTGTGTGTAAATTCGTTTGGTACACCCACACCCCCACCCAGCTTTCATTGTACGTCATGGCGAAAAATGAATATGTTAGATGCTAACTTCGGTAATAGTGGATTTCCTGTCTTTAGTGGGCCAGCGGATAGTTTACATCCACGATATTTTCCAATGTTGGATGCATCCGCAAGTGATGAATCGGTTTATGTTTTGCTAGGATTGAGAGAACAAGATTACGAACGGATGGTGCAACAAAATATGCTACATAAATTTCGATAATTTTATACCACTTAATCTAAAGAACCCTACTTATTTGAAAAATAAAGTATTCTGCTGAATTGTCGCTTCAATGTTGTCATCAGACACAACAATGAATTAATGATGAAATAAAGTAAAATCTAATTATGAATGCAATGTTTTTTTTAATAATCAGAATGACAATAAAGTATCAGATGCTACATATGGTATGGGTGTTCGTTTCGATCTTGTCTTTCGTAAATCCACACACCGGCCTGCCGATTGTGTCAAACGTGAAAGTTGAATTCGTTTATTGAAAACCGTTTTCACTTATTTACCTATTCAATTATTGAATAGTTGAACTCCAACATTCAACTATTCACCTATTCCATTTCTAGCTAATGCCTTCTCGGGACTCCAAAACACCCACACTTTAGGTAATGCCTTCTCCGGATTCCAAAGCACCCACACTACGAGTTATGATATGTTTGTGTGGCGTCTTGTCCTGCGTTTGTGACAGCTCGATATGACTTCTGATCTTGAGACCCATTCCAACAACTTCTTGATAGGAACTGCTCTATGTGTAATTTGTGTTTGGCGATAACTGCTGTAGCACAATAATTCTTTTGAGGGAACTCTCATGTTCACGAAATCGTTTGTTTTCGGTGAGGTATGCATTTGACACCATTCACGGTGGATGCCCATGTGTTGATGCTGACGTTTTTAATCGAATGCGATCAGGGATTGTGGGAAAAGGATGTGAATCTGGTTAACATTTGATAATAAATGAATACGTGAATAAGTGAAGTTCAACTATTCAATAATTGAATTCAACTTTCACCTTTGACATGTATGCAAAATCCTGCTGAAAAGTTTCAAATATATGCAAAAGAAGGGACTGCGCTGCGCACGAAGTAAAGCATCTGAAGGAGTTTTTAATTCCGATCAAGAAAGAGCTTTTCAAGAGCTACACAATGGCTCATTCGGTTTGCTTGTATCTCGCACGTCTCAGAGCCAAGAAAATGAAAACTGACAAAACAAATTAACAAAATCAGTCATTTTGGCGTCCTACAGTCGTTAGCCAAGTACGTCTCGCAACTACTTTTTACATGAAAACGTTTTATACGGTTTTGTAGAGAATTGAACGAGGAATCTTTTAAAAAATCACAAAGTCGACACAAATAAAAATTGATGGGGATATTCTTAAAATACTGAGAGGTTCATTATTCCTGGGACACCCGTTATGTTATGTTAAAATGATAATGAACAGGGATTGAAATAAGTGGGAATCTATTATTCTCAAAAGAATACTTCAATTTTGAACTTAGCCGCTGCCGCCGCCGAAAAGCCTACTCATTCAAATCAGTCGCCGCTGAAGATTATAAAAAATTCAGAATTTTTACTCGCCACCGCTGTTCAACCCCTCGGCTTACACCTCTAATTCCGACGGCCGATTATCGATGGATGTTCGCAGTAATCCGACTTTCGGATCCGCTGTTGGAGTCCTCAATCCGGTAATCCGATCAAATCCCATGGGTTGCTAAGCTCTGATAAGATCCAAGAGGATCCTATGTCGGATTGATCGACCTGGAAGTTTATCTATCTTTGTTTAATTTGTCGTGCAACGACTATCCAATGAAGATACTTGAGAAAGATTCAGGCTATTTGCAGTACTACTTAAACAAAATATATACCCACAATGCACAATCATGAAGGTTTGCTCGCTGATCGATAGAAATCTGCCACGAAGTAAAGAACAGTTTGCGTAGGAGAAGAAAAAAGAAAAACGACTTTGTCAGGAATACATTTTTTCATCAAAATTGTCAACACAGAGTGGTTGTCAGAAGGCTGATGTGTAAATAAGCATTTGCGCAGTTCGTTTTTTGCTTAAATTACATACCATACATACCTTATGATTCTTTCTGAATCATTGCATAGTTACAAACGCACAGCCATCTGAGTAGCTGTTTCGCGCGGAAGAAGTACCCCATGGTTGCTCAAAACACATCCACGCACTAGGAAGTAAATAAAACGGCTTACGTACACTGAAAAAAAAATAGTAACCGTACCAAACTCTAAAGTGTTCCGATTTTTGCAACGAAATCGAAATCCTTTGAGGTTTCGTAAAAGGCCTTAATTTTTAATAACGGGTGATCGAAAAGTTTTTGCACAAGATTGCAATTCATATTTCTCTTGTTCTACTCTTGCTTTGTTTCTGTTTTTTTTGTACAAAATACAGATACTATGGGCATGTTAACGGGAGACCTGACCCTTCACATAAGGTAGTGAGTTTTTCGGCCAGTTTATAGAGGAAATAAAACTGCATATAGCCTGAAATTTTATTGGTTGGCCAATATTTTTTGGCGCCGTTCTAGGGTGTGGGTGTGGGTGTGTGTAAATTCGTTTGGTACACCCACACCCCCACCCAGCTTTCATAATGTCGATGAAGAGCAGGAAAAGTAGCTTGTTGACGCTGTGGGATTTTTCCATGATCATTTTTAGAATGAATATTTGATCAACTGTTGAAGGATTGGATCGAAAACCAGCTTGTTCCTCCAATAGTTGTTTGTCGAGTAGGGCTTGTACACGATTGAGGATAATTCTTGAGAAGATTTTGCTGGTCACTACCAAGAGAGATATTCCACGATAGTTGTCACAAATCTTTTTGTCATCCTTGTTTTTGTAGAGGCGAATCAGGATTGCTGTTTCCCAGTCTTCAACTATTGTTTCATGTTCCAATATATCCACGAAGATCTCATGAAGTCATTTGGCTATAGGAAGACCTCCAACTTTAATGATGTCTGGTGAAATTCCATTGTTTCCAGACGCTTTGCCGTTTTTCATTTGCTTGATTGCACATTGAACTTCCTTGAGACTCGGTGCTTTGTCTTGTCGTCGTTGTTCGTTTGGATCTATTGTAGAAGGAATAATTTGCTGGATTGTCAACGGGTCTACATTAGATGGCACATTCAGAAGACCATTGAAATAGTCTTTCCATCGATCTAATCTTTCTTTTGAGTTGGTTAGTATTTCTCCATCTTAGTCAAATATAGGAAGATCTTCAATTTTGGCCTTTCCTCCTCTTAGACGGCGAATCATTGAGTATGCTGTTGCTTGATGGCGTTTCCAACTTCAATACTAAGTTCATTCCAGTATTCTACTTGTCTTGCTTCAATTTTCTTTGTCGCCAGATTTTCGAAGTAGGTGATAGCTCTTGTTGTATTTTGATTCGAGAGTAGTACCACGAAAGTTTTGCCAGTCGAGAAAGGCTTTTGCCTTTTTATCAACAAGGTCGAGAATTTCGTCTGTTAATCATTCTTTTTGTTTTCCGCTATTTCCATCTTGTTGAAAAGCTGCTCCACTTGCTTGATGTACGTAGTCGACGAAAGAGTTGTACTTGCTGTCTATTGTTTGAGACGATGTTTGTTGCTGTTGAGGACCAGCATTCAATTGTCTTTGAAAGGCTAGCTTGCATTGTTCGTTCTTGAGATTCTTTTGATCGATGCGATGTAGTTGAGCTTTGATCACTTTTCTTCGACTTCTTAGATGGAATTTGAGTTGGATTCGAAGAAGATGGTGATCAGTTTCAATTGCCCCAACTGCTCTACGATGGACTCGCACATCTTCGATACTCGAACGAAATTGTTTGTTGGCGAAAGCATAGTTCAACATGTGTCAGTCAGGTCTTGCTGCCAGGGTGCATTCAACTTTTTTGATGAATAGGTTTATGTTGAAAGAATGTGTTGGATATGACTAGATTGTTCAGGAAACAGAAGTCAAACAGACGTTTGCCATTTTCATTTATTGTATCCACCGCATAAGGACCAACTACAATTCGACTAGTGGGGTGCTGTTGTACACCAATTCGTGCGTTAAAATCACCGATGATGAGAACCATACCACTTTTTGGCACTTTATCCAAAGTTGTTTGTAGGTCGGCATAGAAGGGATCTGATGTTGTGCTGGCCATTTGTTGATTTTTTGAGTTGATAGGTGCATAAGCGGCGATGACGGAAACGTTGATCGGTTTGCATGCCAGTCGGACCATGACAATACGTTCATTGGCAGCTTCCCAAGTTGAACCAAGGTTCTTCCACGCTGTAGCTGTTTGCATGTTGAGACAAATGGCTACTCCATGAGCTGAACGAGTTTTGTCACTACTTAAATGTCCAGAATAGATGAGGGTATAATCATCAACAGTTGTTGTTCCACAATCATACACTGCTGTTTCACTTAGTACTACTACTTGAATATGGTGTTTCTTTAGTTGTTTGATGATAAGTTCTTTCTTCGCTTGACAAAATCATGATCGTACATTCCATCCACCGAAGTACCTTGTTTTACGTGCATTGATGCACTGATTTTGATCTTGTTCGTTAGTCAGATGAGTTTAATGTTCCAGTAATAGGTGGCTAACCTAGAAGAGAGGCGGTTTGGCTACCGGCAGCCCAGGAGCACCCCCACATTCTTCTAGCAGAATTGGGACTCCATAGACGTTCAAAGACGCTTCCGGCAAGCAGATTTTAAGTACAAGCTTCAACACCTACAAAAGAGCCAACTTTCAAAGCTCAAAAGTTGTTTCTTGAGATTTTCACATCGGGTAGTAACAAAAAAAAGCCAAACAAAACAGTTATCTTCTAGTTCTTTAAAAGTTCTGACGATTAGTCATAGTTGGAAAATTTTTGATGTTGCCCTTGTGCCATACTTAACATATATTCTCTTCCAGATTTTCAAAATTTTAACTCTTTCAATCTGAAGTTGCGGTACTCT